TGCCTCCCCTCCCCGCGCCTTTCGGGGTTGTGCGAGTGCACCCCTGTGAGGTCGGTCTTCTCCTGTCCCCCTCCTATATCGCTTCCTCAGGAGGCATTTTGCCACGCAGTTAAAGTCTTCGGTATCTTCCCCGTCCTTTAAGGTGACTCTGAAAGCATGATAGCGAGAGGTGGCACGTTGTTAGCAAGCACCGAGGCAGTATCTAGTCCCTTAGCTGCAGCATGTTACCCTCATGCTATTTGCATGTCTTCTTTAATTGCCTTAAAACACCATGTAGGGTAAAAAGACAGAGGACTGGATTTTCTAGCGTTTGCTTCTTTTTTTTTAATCGCAGCGATGCTGGAAACGTGTTCATATTTTCACTGGTTCCATGCTTTGGCGACCTTAACTCTGAAAAGCACACCTGCCTTCTAGGAGAGTTGAGGCCTAGCTCATTTCTGTCTCTGAAATACTTGAGGACATGTAATAGCAGGATATCAACACATCAGATGTCATATTATTACTACTTTTCATGATAGAGCTTTCGAAGCCCCTTATTGTGTACGTACTTTGGGGCTCAGAATCCATAGTTTGAGTGTCTAGGAAATGTCCCAGGTTTTTTTTGAGATGAAAAGTCTAAATCATTATCTTTTTTCAGAATATTGGCTTTCAGTCGGAATTACTGTCTCAGTTATGTTTGGGGAAAGCTTTCATACTGGTCGTCAAGGTTCTCTGTTGGTAGACAGATGGCTTTTTCTTCCATCGCTACAAATCATAGGATCAAAGTAAAATTGACATGAATGTATATTCCTGTGTTGGAGAGTTGATGCTAATTGGTGGGAAGCAGTGCTGAAGAGAAAAAGAAACAGCTGGGAAATGGAGATGGGGATGATGCGGATAGGTGATGTAGCAGACAGATGGAGCAGTGAAACAGAAGTGAGTCACCGAGATCTGAAACTGGGAAAAAGACTGTGCCCTTTCCCTTCTGGTGACTGTTTTGAGATATACTTCAGGTTTAAAACCCTTGCCTCGGTGGAAATTATTAAAGGCCGATTACATGCAGAAAGCCTGGAACAGCACATTAATGAAAAATTACACGTTCTTTTGAAAACTGAATTGCTATTTCCAAGCTTGGAAGCTACAGATCTAGGAGTATGTTAGGCTTATCTTGCCACTAAACAACCACTGGCTCCAGTCATCATACCTTATTTCCTACCAGTTGCTTTGTATGTAACTTAGGAAGCATGCATTCTGGAAATCCAGAGCTCTCTTTGCTCTGCAGCTGCACTATATCTTTCTGGTGACTTTTTTCTTCAGTATTCCATAATGGAATGGAACTTGCCCACAACTGCTAAGTGAGGAACAGTCTTATGAGATTCACAGTAAGGCACCATTTATGTGGTGATGGAAGATCTTGTTCCCTGTGCTTCAGTATGTAACAGAAATAGAGCCTTTTCTGTAGAGTATTTGTATACCACTAACTCTGCAAAGGTACAGAAAATTTCTGTGTTCTTAATGAGGAAATTGGGATGAAAAGCTCTCTAAAACAGTCTTTGTTTCCTGCCTTTCTATTTTCTTGGATAATTTAAGCAAACTGTATAAGCAGTAGGGCTCTACAAGCTGCTGGAATGTGCTTTTGGTTCTGTGTGTTACCAAAGGTCTGTTTGAATCGGAACACCTTCCTGTGTAGAATTCCAAATGCAGATTTTGTGCAAATGCATGTATTTTGGCTCCCTGTGATGGTGTAATTTCAGTAGAGAAGTTCATTAATGTGAAGGTTAAAATGCTCGCAGAAATGGAACTTTAGTGCAAAAATAATCCTTATTTGTTTCTCCCCTTCACATCTGCCACTGTGCATATATAGAAAGACATAAATAAAAAAACCTGACTCTTTTGAATATTTCCTCTATGTAGTCTAAGATAGAACCATCTTAAGTGAACTGGAGATCTCTTCTGTATCTCCTATTCTGTTGGTGTTCAGTTTGGCATCCTTCACTTTGCCTTTCATTTTAATATATGGGAATGAAAATTGTTTTAATATAACTCCAGGCTCTTATTTATAGCCCTTCGGTCTTTGTATTTGATGTTGAGAAGCGCCTTTATTCCTTTTTTTCAATAAATGTAGGAAAAAAGAGGTGACCTAGTTGTCCCAAATTCACCCAGCTACTCATTGGCTGTCAGAAAAATGTCCTGACATCCTGGTAACTAAGGCAGATTATTTTTTTCCTAAGAAGTGACTTCAGCTTTTTAATTGAAAGATTAATTAGGCTTTATAGCATGTGGCATTATAAATAAGGGAAGGTATGTTGCACTTTTGCTTCCATTCTGGAATGTATTTTCATCTCCTTCTGCTTCTAGTTTTTGAAGAGCTGTGATTTTTGGGAGACAGTATGTTAATAAATACACTGATACAAAGTCAAAGAGAACATTCTCGCTATCCCTGAAGGAGCAGTCTGTCCAACTCTATCAAATATGACTTGCTGGAGGTGGTGTAGGAAGTTCTAGCTTGTTCTGCAGGTAGTTGAGGTTATCTTGTTCTCCTTGTGAGACTGCGTATCCTCCTGCCTTTTTAAATTTTCTTCTTGAAGCATGTGCATTATTATAAGAAGAGTGCAGGCTCATGTTTTGCTTTGTCTTACTGAACTGGACAGCTACCAAAAAGAGTGGTCCTACTCTGTTTTCTTTTTGCCTATTCCCAAGGCCAAGACACACCTTTCTGTTGCTTCTCTTATCCTGAACCTAGTGAGTGTGCTGATGTGGAAAATCCGTTCAACTTTCCCACACAGAGGAAGACTTTGGAAGAATTAATTTGGTCATCTTGCCAAATTGATTGCTGCACAGTCACACAACGGTAGAGCTGTCGTGTGAGGGAACGGAGCCGAGAACATGTGTTCCTGTGTTGGAGGGGAAGAAGGGTTTCCCATGTGTGGCCCTTATGCCCTCCCACCCTTCAGAAGTATCCAATTGTTAAATCTGTGTGTGGTGTAACATTCTGTGCAAACACCTGTGAGCCACGATCAGAAATTTGCTTTCACGTGGGCCCAGTTGTTCCTTGCTGTGATCCTTTTTCTTAGCAATCTTGGGTTGTGGATTAAGCCGGTTCTTAATAAAGATTTTTGTACTTTGTGAGCACTGAGTAAATGTACTGTGCAAGCTGGGAAGGAGGTGTCCAGCACGCTCCTAAAGGAGCATCTGGGATCATCTTTAACTCCAGGTCTCAATCCTAGCTGTGCTTCTGTTTAATGTCTTTCATTAATAATACACAATAATAATAAAAGGGACAGTCTTTTGTGATACTTTCTTAAAGCTGTGAGTGCAGATTTACTACCCCAGATTTAAACACTGGAATTAAACACTTTTAATCAGCTGTCCTTTGCTCCTGCTTGAGAAAGTTGGGTATTTCACACAGACACCTTTAGTTAAAAACCCCATCTGACAGTATTCTTCTTTTCCGTAACATTTTTAATTTAGATTCTGAAATCAAACAGACGGTCTCTTTGTAGAATGAGAATGTTGCCACTGTGATTTTTGAACAGTTTTATGTGTCCTAAGGGTACTACGCACAGTGATTAAAAAACTGCTTGCTCTCGTGAAATTGCTAATAGAATGGATTTGTTGTACAGTAGTCATGTAACTACAGAATTTTACTGTCAGTCACATTATTTGTTTACTATCTTATTGTTAACTGTTCCTTTTATGTGATATTGAAATCTCTGGTTAATAAATTAAGCACCCTGTTGTGCCTTGTTTGGGTAGCCAAAGATGTAATTGATTTGGAAACTGAAGGTACTTTTTATTTTTTACAGTGGAGTTTGTCTCCAGTTCTTTTGAGTCTGCTGCCTTTGAACAGCTTGTCAATCATTTTGCCACTCAGAATCTGATCCCCTGTAATGAACAGTGTCTTGCTTGCTCTGTGATGGATGGAGACCTTAAGCTCCATTTTTAAAATAATTTTTGATGCTGCTCTCATAGATGAGAGGAAGATAAACTTATAGTATGGTTTGTAAAAACAAACACAAAGCATGTAAGAAACTGCTTGCAATTAACGTGATGGTTTTGATGTTTATAGTGTATATACTGCAGTTTCTCTGATTTCTTACATGCTATTAGGGAATGAATGTCTTTTCAAATTCAGAGGGAGACCTAAGGAACTTGAACAAGTATTCTAGAATGATGTCGACTGTGGTATAACCTTAGGAGGTCACCCTTTCAAAGGCAACATGTTGGACCTCTGCAGTCTATTTATCTTGTAACAATGAAACCACCGCACCTGCAGACCCAGGAGCAGGTTCTACCTGAGTAACAAAAGTCCAGGAGAAGCAGAAATTGGCTGCACATGTTGCTAAAACAAAAGACTACCTGAATCACAGAATATTTCTGTAGGAGTTTAGTAAGTGCTTGTTTTGTTTGGAAAGCTGCCTTTGCCAGCTGTATTTACGACTGTTTGCTAAGAAAGATAAAATTGTTTTGATAGGATAAGGGTTCACTCAGCAAGGGAGGGGAGAGTGGAGCGTCAAAGTTAAGAGCAAAACCGCTATGGTGCAAATTCATAATTGTGATTTTTCATAAATCAAATTTGCTTATACTGCATTATATGCTAAACATCACAGAAGTGGAGAGATGCTTGGATAATAACATGAGCTCAAAGACCAGAGAAATTTAAGCATAAGACACAAGAAATGGGTTGTGGTTCTTCAGTAACAGAGTTGGGAAGGTTGGGGGGATGTGAGGAGGGGTGTGTGGTTTTTTGTGTTTTTTTTTTCTTTTTTTCCTAGCAGATGTGAACATGTTTTCCATCTATTCTAAAGCCTAATATTTTGTTTTGCACTAAAGGACCATTTTTATATAAAAGTAAGGGAAAAAAAAATCTCAACTTCAAAAAGCGTGCAGATACACACTGCTTCTTGTCTGCAGCATTGCTTGCTATAGTTACTATCAGAAATATAGAATTAAGGCTGTAGTCATGATTGAATACTTCATTTTTGAAAAGAGAGAGTAAACATGATGCAACTCAAACTTTTAAGACCTTGAATTCTTAAATGTTTTGTGGCTCTCTTGAGACTGAGCTGTTGAGATCAGTGGGAATTCTATTAACAAAGATGTATTAGTTGTTGTAACATTTTCCCACTTTTTTTCTTTAAAAAAATATTTAAAATTACTTTATCTTTCAGCTGTAAAATATAATTTAGGATTTTGGGACTTCTTTGTGATTCCTATTTAGTGTGTCATTCTGCATGTCACTCATTCTGTTTCTCAGTTTTTTTTTAAATATGGAGAGCTGTGTCAAGTAAGTACCTCCACTGGGAATTTTGGACTCCCTTCTGTTTTTTGAAAGATTTGTTCCTGTAAAATTCACTATGAATCCTGCATGAATAGTTCTGAGGTTAAAAGTCCAAATCATTTCGCATTTAAACTGTTCTTACTTTCCATTCCTCTAGATTTGGACTCAGCAGGATCGTCAATGCATCCTCGATACTTTAGCGCAGTTATTACTGGATAAAGAATGTACCCTATTGATTGGCCGTCAAGTTCGGCCGATCTTGTTGGATTTGTTGGAAAGAAATGCAGAAGCCATTAAAGCTGGTGGCCAACTCAACCATGACAGGCATGAAAGACTGTGTGTAGCAATGAGCAAGCTGGTTGCTGACCATCCTGATGTTTTGCCGTGAGTAATGTGATGTCTCTTTTTGCAGTGTTTGAACTTAGGGAGTATATGCTTGTCGGTGTTCACTGGTGATGAGAGCTGATGTTACAATTTGGATTGTCTCCCACAATAACAAATGTATTTTGAATTGAAAGGATGATTTAGAAAACATGAGTCTTAAACACAGTTTACTTAAATTGTAGGATCTAATGTGATTTTTATCTTAATGATCAAAAGAAAAGCAAAACAGCTGGCATGAAAATTGCTCACAACCGAAATCTCTGCATTTAAGATTAGACCTGTAGGCTAGTAGAATACAAAGTTACCTAAGTAGGAATCAGTATTGCTTTTTCAGTAAACAAGGGCAATCGAAGAGATTTCATCAAAGGCAGTACTGTTTCCCCTTGATAATTAACTAATGATTTCTAATAAGGTAAAGTATCTGTTGTCAGCTGATTGTTGAAGTGGTTGTTTTTCCCAAGTTTGGACAAAGTTAAATGTAGGCCTTAGTTCTCAGTGTACCGTCAATTACTGTCTCAGGGCCGCTGTCCTGACATTTTTATTAGTGGCTGTTTTCCTTTCCTCTGGCTTAGATGTCTGTGTTACATCTCTTTCTCTCTCTCTCTCTTTCTTCTAAAGATTTGCTTTAAGATATTTTAAAAATACATCGCCAGTTTTCCAGAGGCTTTTTTTGGAGAGCTCAGATGCAAACACAGTCCGGTATGGGCGCAGACGAATGAAGTTACGGGACCTCATGGAGGCAGCCTATAGATTCTTACAAAAGGAGCAATCAGTTTTCCGGGAATTATGGGACTGGAGTGTGTGTATTCCACTCCTAAGGAGTCATGACACTTTAGTCCGTTGGTAAGTTAAACCCCCCAGATCTTCTCCATTGAAAAGATGTATCTGTGTCTTGAATTGTATTTAAAAATGTTCACATGCAAGTAGAAAAGAATCTTCAAATAATACCAGAAAAATCTGTACTGATGGTATCTGTGTCTGTGCGTCTTCCCTGATCTTTTGAAAGCTATAGTGATCTATCACAGAGTGAAACTTAGGCTAGTCCTTAGTCATGCTTGAAGCTATGGTGTGGAGAATCTTTTCAAATAACTTCAGTTTACCCAAGTTGGATTCATGGGAGATGCTGAATTTATCACTTCACCTCTACTGTAGGCCTGTTGGTGTATTGCATGCATTCTAGCATGTTATCCTAGAAAAAAGTAGGGATGGATCTACTCTCACTCCAACTTACATTATGATGATATATTATGCTGTTCTGCATTGCTAGGCTATTAACGAGTTGCGTTTTTTTCTGTTGCGTGTATATAGACATCTGAGTCACTGTAAAGCTTGGCTTATTTAAGCTACACTTCCTAATTGGCCTTGTTGCAGACTTTGCATGTGGTTTTGGTCAGACGTTTCATGTTAGGTGTCTGCCCTGCAGGGCTTCAACCTAGTCACATGATCTACCTTATTTATGTGAGGAATAGGATTGATAGTGCCTTTTATTTATTTAAGAAAAGGTCTTTAACAGTCTTCCATTTCTTTTTTTAAACATAAATTCAGGATTACGTTAGTAACACATAATTTTAAAATAAGGTGTGTAATTTAGGAAGGGCAGGGACAAGAGTGTTGTCAAATCTGTCAGCCATTTATGAAGCTCTTCAGGATGACATACACTTAGATCGTCTTAGAAAAAGAAATAGAATTTCTGATTCATTGACTGGAGTTGGTTACCTGGTGTTCAGCTAATAATCTTAAGTAAGTGAATGAGCTGACTTTTAAATTTTGTCCTGAACCAATCCTCTGGCAACCTTTTTTTTTGTCCGTCTGTTTGTCCCTGCCTGCCCTGCTCATTGAAAGCTTTGTTCTTGGAAGGTAAAAACAGTGGTATAATAAATGAAAAGTGGTTTATGATTTCTGTTAAAGCTGTCCTTTGTTGCGAGACAGCTTTATGCAGTAATGAAGTCAAGACTTGGGAGTTGTTGGCTTCTTTTGGCACTGAGTCTTGAGTTCATTGTGTTAGGGTTATTTTAGAAATAGCATTAAATAGAAGACAATTTTAAAAGGGAAATGGAAAGAGGAGAAGAAAAAATCAGGCAGAGAAAACCTGATTTTCATTGTCTTGTATGTTTGCCTTAATTTATTTGGGAAAGTGCTCTCCTTTATTATATTTCTGTTGATCATCCAGAGAAAGGTTAGCTAGTTGGTGTATGAATGAAAGTATGCCGTGATAGAATTGCTTTTCTCAGTTCTGAGATATTTCTCTAATCTTAAAGAATGTTAAGCATAGTGCTAAAATAATTTCTATGAAGAAAGTTTTCTGCATGTTTTTCCAAACTTGATATTTCGGTTTGCAATCGACAGTTGTCAAACTAAATTTCTTAAGACTATGTTTTGACATGTTTTATTCTAAATATAATTTTTAGGTATACTTCAAACTGTCTTGCTCTGGTTACATGCATGAATGATGAGCATAAATTATCTTTCCTGAAGAAGATATTCAATCCTGAGGAGCTGATACATTTCAGACTGAAGTAAGAACTTTCAAAATCTTGAATGCTATTTGTTTTTGTTGATGGCTTTCAGTTGAGTTAATAAACATGGATTTCACAGGCTACTAGAAGAATCTCAGCTGCAGAATGTGGAACAAGCCCTTGTTTTGGCCAATCCAGACTCCTCATTTTGGCAAAAGGAGAAAGAACTGCAATATACGCAAGGACATATTGTATCGGGCGACCTCTCTGCAAATGTAGTAGCTGTATGTGGTATTGTGCTGCCTAGACTACAGCTTGTTTCTGAAGAGCAGGTATGTAACCCAGGGTTAAGTATGTACCCTTTTTTTGTGGGGGTTTGTTTTTTGTTTTGTTTTTTAAGAATCCCTAAGTGCAGCAAACTGACTTTGTTTCCTGCTTAAATGGTATTGAGATACTGCGGGTAATACGTGTATCTTTAGCTTTCTTGATGTGTGCTGTTAGCTAGTGTTGCATAATACGGACACTGAAAAGAAACTCTGCAGTGGAATGAAGCAATGAAGACATAATAGTGCTGTTCACTTTATCTTTATGTAGCGTTTCTTATGAACATACTAGAAAAGAATATTCAGCCTTACATAGTATCTCCAGCCCAAGTTAGGGTGATATTCTATAGCTGAATAAAGCTAGGGTCTGGCATGGTTATTTTTACTTGCATGAGGTAGTTCTTTGTGCTATACACATATCTTATAAACAGCCTTTCTCCAAACATATTCTTAGTTCTTCTCTTAAAAGAAAATGAAGCTGCTCCTTACTCTTCTAGAAGGCAGAAAAAGGGGAGAGGAAGTGAGCAAGAACTCACTTTCTCTACTTGAGTGAATGCAGAATGTAGTGCCTCATAGTCTTAGGAAGTCCATCGAAGGCATAAACATTTTTGAGCAAGCAGTATTTAACCTTTTTCCTCTTGACATGCTGTTTATCTTGAACTGTTCAGGTTCTTTTTTATAGCTGCAGCCAATATTCTTGACTGTTTTTCTCATTTACGTACAGTCTTAGCTCTTAGCTGATTGTTTCTATTTAATTTTGTGACACTGGTCTACAAATGAAGGACAAAGAAATGAATGAAGACTACCAATGTCCAGAATTTCTTGAGTAACAGAAGCAAGGAAAGAGGAATTTCCTTCCAAATTCTTCCCCATCCCTGAACTTCTGTAGTTGAATTTGCTGTATTCTAGCTTTTTTTATAGGATCGAGGCTGTGGCTCAAAATTAATTGCAGCAGGGGAAACTGCAGAGCTGTTCAAAGAGATTCTTACTCCTAGGCCAGTGTCATTGCTGCTGCAGCTGTGCTGAAGCTAGGCCATCCTATAAACTGGATTGCTGAAAGGATGCTCTTTGTCTATGAGGGAGGAGAGAACTTCCCCAAAAGGCACGCTTTTATTTTTTAATAGCCACAGGTATTTCACTGATCTGGTATACAGTGTAGTTCCAGTTACGCTGGGGAGGTTCCAGTTAGGGCTGAGGAGGTGTGATGAAGAGGTAGGAGCAAACTGTGAGGGAAAGCAGGTACTCTTTCAAACTGGCACTGTTAGAAGAGAAGTACATGAAACTGTATCTGAAAAGAAGATCAAACTTAAATACAAGACACTTGTTTCGGTGCAGCATGTACTCTGATTTCTTTTCTCTCTACCTTTTGGCAGGAAATCACTAATTTTTGTGCCATATACTGATATATAAATGACTGTAGGAGAGTCAAAATATTTGGAGGGTATCTGTAGCACTGATTAATTACCATTCAATAAACTACATTTTTATTTTACTCCAAATGCAGTAAATGTTAACTGAATTAACTTTTTTTTTTTAATGCACTGAATTTAATGATCTTGTACTTTGGGTGTGCAGAAAGAAATAAATGCAGCTGTTAATATTCATACTTCCATCATCTGAATCTAACTGCTATTTGATTTGTCCTGTGATTTGGATCCATTCTGATGACTTAATTCACTTATATTGCAAATTGTATTTGATTGGCATGTGTTATGATTGAATTTTTACTGTGCCTGTACTGACAACTTAGTGTGAACTCCTTTTGGGAACAAATTGTACGTATACTTTATTAAGTGTTTCACCTGTGATGGGTTTTTGATGAAATCTATTTTAATATCTGTCATTAAATACTGCTTTAGAATCCTTTATTTTATTTGATATGTGTTGACAGATCAGCAGGCCAAAATTTTCTAGTTGTCAGACTCGCTTTCTTAATTGTTCTGTGTTGTACAACCTGTTTAAAAAAAAAAAAAGTAACAATTTCAGTGTAGTAACTCAAATTTTATGTTTAAACAGGAAAATAATACTAGCCATTTTGTTTTGGTTGAATCTGCCTTCACAAATCTTCAAAACCTTGCTATGGCTGTAGCATATCAGAGTCCCGTTTTACTAGAAGGACCAATAGGATGTGGCAAAACTTCTTTAATTGAATATTTAGCAGCTGTTACAGGAAGAGCAAAGCCGCCTCATATTTTGAAAGTCCAACTTGGGGATCAAACTGATAGTAAGGTAACTGATGTTGTTGTTTTATGGTTGGATGATCAGACATAATTTTTACTGAAAGCATGGGCTTAATTTTCTAATAAGATAATGTTTAACTTTTTACCCAAAGACCCCACAACCCCCAACTCTGTAGTATTGGTCTTACTATTGATGAGAATAAACAAATGTGAAGAAAAATCACAGTTAAATTTCAGTAGGTTTAAAATTCTGTGTTTAATTGTGCTGTATCTGTTTCATTCAAATTATGTTTTATTGGGGTTTTTCTATGTGGAAGAGCCCTACTGATTTTTTTAATTAAAAAATTATTTGTATTAGAAAAAAAATATTCTAAAATGACTCAAGCTGGTGCCGAAGGCTGTATGGACACTTTTATTTCAGTTGAAGTAAGCTAATGTCAGTTTAATCTGATTCTAGGGGTTTTTTTGTGGTAAAAGTGAGATGAAGTAAGATCCAGTGATGTTGAGGGTGCTTGCACTTACATAATAGTGATCTAGCTCTACCTGTAGAGATAAAACCAGAGGTGAAGATAATTTCATGTTCTTCTGGTTTTGCATATGTAACTTTTGAGCTTGAATTGATTTATGTTGTTTGGCTCAATTTATATTTAGTTTTCTAAAGTGGTTAGTATATACAGCAGAAGTGCTACCTGCAGGGTTTTATTAGCATGCATAAGCACCTCCTTTACTTGCATAGAACAGCTGATTTCACCATCTCACAACTATTCTCTACAAGAGTATCTTTTCATATATGTGAGTAAGACTATTATATTAAGAAAAAGTGAGAAATTTCAAAGTACAGCTACAAAGTAGTAGTGAAACCATAAACTTATTTATTTAAGGAATGTTTAAATGTAGAAGTTACAGCTTTACGGAGAAGCAATGCTTGACTGGTTTTGTATCTTTGAATAACTTGCTTTACAGTTCCTCTTACTAGGTTAGTCACAGACTTTTCAAAACTGTAAAATAGAGTTCAGTGCAACCCAAGACAGTTTGGTATGTTATACTGTTGATTATTTGTTAATTATAGTGGCACAGCTCTGTAAATTTGCTTCCAATTACCTGGTTCATTTTAATTACTATGTTTCAGTTAGGTTATCATAGATGTGGAGGGGTGAAACTTTTTTTTCTTAATTAAAAAAAGAGTGTAATGCTGGGCACAGATTACCCGATGGATTGTTTAGTAATGTGGAGTCTAAGTAAATGTTACTTATATACCAACTTTGGTCATTTTTGTAAGTTTTTCCTGTGAGTTTTTAAGGGATGTAGCGAACAGGTCTCTAATTTACTGATTGTTTCCGTCATAGACGCTGCTTGGTATGTACCGTTGTACAGATGTACCAGGAGAGTTTGTGTGGCAACCTGGAACCTTGACACAAGCTGTTACCAAAGGTCACTGGATACTTCTGGAGGATATTGATTATGCTCCTCTGGATGTGGTATGTATTAGGTTCATATTTGCTGTAAGGTACTGGTTTTAAGGCCCATGCTAGCAATTTGTGGAGTCTAATCACCATGACTTCTGAAAATGCTGCCCCTTTAAAAGGGGTTAGAAAGAGTTAACCTGTCTGTCTTTGTTCATGTATTAGCACACCGCATTAGTTTTTGTCATTGAGAGTAGTCATGACAGTGCCACTACCAACTTTCAGTCTGAAGATTTGAATTGACACTGATGAGCTATGTGTCTTTTAAATCATGTTTTAATGTTTGAAAACAAATGTGGCCCCAAACACCACAGAATATCATCATTGTGTTAGAGTGATGCTGTTAATAAGTTTGGTTGGGTTTTTTTTAGCGTTGTGTGGGTTTTTTCTGGTTTGGGTTGTTTTTTTTTTTTTCCCCCCTTACAGATTTCTTACCTCTGGCTTGGATATTGAAAATGTGTTGTTACATTAAGCAGTATAGGTTTTAATAGATTTCCTGGTTTTAGCTCCAAAATGACTAGTTAGGCTGTCATCCTTCCCTGTTGAAGTAATGGGGGCTGAAAGCATATCTTCTGCAAGAACAATGTCATAGAGATGTTTTGCTGTGTAGGCCTGCTGGACATTCTGCAGACAGTTCTTTTCTTTCATATATGTTCTGTAAAGCATCCTTTGTGTGACTAAATAACCTGACAGCTTGTTTATTGGGTTCTAGGCTTCTGAAATATAAGGAATTTATAAGAAAGCCAAGAAATACTATTTGTATATACTAGACAGTTTTTCACTGCCAGAGGGTCATGCACTTATTTGCTTCAGTGGACTTGGCTCATTGCACTCATCATAACCATGCCTTGAGTAGTATCCTGCATTCATCTCCCTTTCTTCAGGTCCTCCCTGTGGGCATCCCGTCTCCCTTCTCCATATCAAAGTCTCCATGTTTGCCTCCCTCTGCACTGAGGGATCATTGTGCTCCTACCTCCCTTTTTTCCTTCCACCATTATTGCTGTACTTCTGCATGGAAGGATAGATTCTTTAAATAGGTACCAAATTCTCTTGGGGGTAGCAGGGTATACACTGAATAATGTTGATGTTTGAGAGTGACATCTTTGAGATGCAGGTCATCTTTGTTCAAGCAGATAAAGAAAATAAGGCTTCTGACACGAAAGTGTCTAATAATTCAATTGCCAATTCAAAATAAATAGTTTTGATTTAGACTTGCAGCGTAAAGACTGGCATTTCCGTTCTCTTACCATTAAATCTGGATACAGAAGAAAGAAGATAGGGAAACATTATACCTGTGACTTCCACTGCTGATTAAAATTACCAGGGACTCTGCAATACCTGTTAGTGTCACTTGGAAGTGCAATCTGCAGGAACAGCAGTTGGTGACAATGTAGTGGTGCTCGGTGGAAGTGCTTTAGCATCTCAAGTGTGAAATGAGTATGGATGAGTGTGCTGTCTGTAACAGTTTCACAAAAAAAATTGGTTTATAAATTTTCTTCTCTCCTGCAGATCTCTGTGCTGATTCCTCTTTTGGAAAAAAGAGAGTTGCTAATTCCTGGTCGTGGTGACTGTTTAAAAGTAGCATCGGGATTCCAGTTTTTTGCAACCAGGAGGTAGGCTTGTAAAGTTAAATGAGGTTAAGGGCATGGATATCCTATTTTTGTCAAAGACAGCAAGTGCAAGGTATTTGGTCAGGAGTATTTTAGCAATTCCCATTCACAAGCATTAGAAGCCATAGAAGTTGTGAAAGGAATTTTTTCACTTTAGAGCAGCCTTATATTACTACTGGGTGAATCCAGTCTTTATACAGAAGAGTCACTTCAACAAGGCTGAAGGAATGAAACTTGCTGGGGGGGAAACCCTGCAAAACCAACCCCCCATTAAAACAAAATACCACTCTCAGCAATTACTGTGTGAAAAAGGTTTATGATTGGTATCTGTAAGGTGTCTTGACTTGCTAGTTTTAACAGCACCTGTGTAAAATATTTCTTAGTTTTGCTGATCTTGGGGTAGTTGGTAGTCTGACTACTGAATGTGTCTAGTTTTCTGGGTTTTGTTTTTTATTTCACCTTCTCCTTGAGCAGTTGTATACATGTGTTCCCTGGAAGGTATTTTTTAAGAGTTTCATAAATAATTTTAACTGAACCCTGCATCTATAGTAAGATAAAGTTATTTGGGAATAATAAAAAAAAATAGAAGAAAAAAAATTCAAAAAATCTGATTTCTGAAAGTCTTGTGTCAGTATAGAGGTTTGTAAGTTTTCTAACCAGAAGATTTAGGGTACCCTCCCTCATGGTTTCACTGTAGTAATGGCTCATGCATCAGGTATCAAAGTGTCTTCTTGTATATTAAGATATAATATTGTATAAAGATAAAGGTTAAGATATCTAGAAGGGGAGTGGTTACATGGTTTTCAAATGTTTTGAAGTTTACTTCAAAGTGTTTAACAAATTTTCCTGGTTTGTCTTCCTTCCATAGTCTTTGACTTATCTGATCTATTTTTTTCTGGAATTGAATCTTTTTGATTCAACTCTCTTTTTGGTTGCCTCATCTCCCAAGATTTTCTTCTTTGCTATACTTGGTCAATAGTTTGTGTAGCAGCAAATTATAGTCTCTGTTGGGCTAGTTAGAGCAGATTCAGTAAGTCTGTTACAGTTTCCAGCTATGGAATATTACTAAAAAAAAAAAAAAACCCACAACAAAAAAACAAACCAAAACAAAACCCTAAAAACCAAACCACAAAACCAATATCTAATGCTTTGCATGTGCAAGGCTACTTCCACAGTGGGTGCATAGTTATATGTGCAGTAAAAAAAAAAGGTGTTGGGAACAAAATATATGATGGAAAGGACTGTGAGCCTGAAGAATGAGGAAAAAAAATCAGGAAAGACTGGAGGGGTCAAGGACTGGAGATGCTTTTCCTGCATCTCTGCAGTAGAGCACAAATCCTTTAGGATCTGTGGAAGATATTTCCCAGGCCACTTCTGTCGGGCTCCTCTCTTTACAAAGGATTCTATATGTTTTTGATAGACTTAACTTATTGTCATTTGTCTTTCTGCAAGTATCTCTAAGGAGATTTTGCACTACAGGGGGGAAAAACGTGATAAAAGAGCAAGTAATTTGGAAAGCAGAGATAGGCAAGGTAGGGTACGTGACAGTACAGTGACAAGCAGTGGGTGATCTAGGCATCCACATTATGCTGTAGCAGCAGTATGTAACATGTTCTTTGGTGCACAGGAATGTAGTGAAAATGTTGACTTCTTCAGCAAGACACAATATACTCTGTTCCTTCATGTTGTTTTGATTTAGGATATTCAGTTGTGGCGGAGGTTGGTACAGACAGCAAAGCAGCCATGCTGCTCTTTTGGACAAATATTGGACCAAAATACATCTGGATAACATGACCAAAGGAGAGCTCAAGGAGGTATGGTGTGTGTTGCTCTATTGTGGCATGTCAATAATTGTTTCAATTAAGGGTAATAAATGTTTTTCAGTAATAAACTTGATCCTTATTTTTATCTCCAAGTTCCACAATACACCCTTATCACTTCAGATCTGTGCTGCTGGATTTGAAGTAAATGGACAGTTTGTCAGGAAAATTTGAAGTGAATTGGACAAAGATTCCTGGGACTTGCCTTGGCAAATACAGTTCCGCTTTGAGTGGGTCTAAGAATCAAATTCCAAATTACTTTGCCATTTTGTAGCCCACAGATTTAAAAACAGGGAGA